GCTCAGTGGCGCATGTAGCTAAAAAAGTGTGACTGCCACGCATGAAATTCCCTGGATCTTTCTTATCACTGGGCCCAAAGAGTATGAGCACTAGAGATCTTTGTTAGCCGAGCCCGCTTCTTCCATTTTAGGGCTACTCTAACCTGAACTGTGATAAAATTATTTAATTGTGCAGCTCTTCTAAAGTTTCCAAATGTTATCTGACCAAATGGATCAAATTCTGACCCTGAAATCATTTCACGAGGGTTGTGCATTAAAAAAAATTGTACCCACTGAATTACAGATGTCTCTTTCACCATGTAAGTCAATGGGCAATAGTCTTTTTGGGAAACATGGCATCACGTGACTGCTGTAAGTAGTAAGCAGTTTGGCCACTATGAACATCGTCTTCAAAGCTTGTTGCACTTACTGGTGGCCTGGTACCAGTAGCCTGCAGCTGTACTCTTGGAGTAGAGCAGGCTCAGTCCTGACAGTCGTTAGCTTCCCAACTTTATAATCCACTCCGTAAATCCACCAGCAAACCGCCCGGCATCCAGACCGTCCATCCTGGGGAGCTGATTGCAGCACACCAGCCAGATTATGGAGGTTACTGTGACCTTCCTGGAGCTTTGCTAAGCTTGTCTATTAAGCTCGAAAAATTGTCAAATAGTTGTCACGATTTTCGAATAGTGTTTTTGCTTGTGCTGCCCATCCCTACTACGAAGTCCCTTCTTCATGCCACCTTTGCTTTTTTACACAGAATAAGATGATGGCAGCATCATGCCACTCCATTGTGTGATTTAAGAGAGTATGCCAGCATCCCGGAAGCAAAAGAGGCGTGACGACATAAGGTGCAGCACAACAGCATCCGCCTCTAATGTGACGTATAACATATGCGTTGGCACCCCTTTCTAAACAATAAGAATAGCATTAACATGGCAATAACAATCATTTACCCTCCCTGTTAAATAGTGGCTGATCTCACCAACTGCTCTGAGGATACGGAGCTCCAGACTTCATCGTTTTCCAATTTGCAGATGTTGCTGCTCTTTTTTGAGTTAGCTGCTAACTACTACAAAAAACTTGGGACTTGCAGTGGGTCGCATGCATAACACATCATCAAAACTTCATCAAAATGTCGTAACTGTGCCGCCCATGATCCCGTCCTGCCAGCTGTCCCTTTTTACACAGACTTCGTTTCGGCGCTGTTTGTACCTCTGCTGCCGGCTTAAAGGCAAGACAACTTTGTAAGTAAGGCAAAAAAACGGCCCAACATTCTCACCTTGAACAGGCTGCCTAAAAAGGGTTTTGGTCGCAAGAGACATCAGTTGGCTTTGTTTTTGTTGACCAAATACTTTCTTGTATATATTAACACGTGTTTATTACTTTGACCAAAATGTGAATTCCAAATCCTGAATATTTTTAAGAATTAAAAGTTCACTGGTCTTTGAAAGGGTCTACTTGCATATGTCATCATTCTATCAGTGGCATAAAATGGTCTCAAAGTAACAATCATATCAAAAGTAGTTATCTTGACAGGTCAACTAGCAGTGTTGTTACTCTAACGTGTTATGTGATGTCTTTGTGGATATGTGTGACTCACGTGCAAAGAATGGACTGGTCTTCACGATCTGCAAAAAAAGAAATACAAATGTTGCATTACAGCTCTGCTGATTCTAAGTGAGCATATGTTATCTGCACAGTGCATACAGTTTTGTAGTCTGTACAACAGGAAGTACGTTGGCCACAGACAGGAAATCAATATCCGGCTTCCTGTGACTGAAAAGAAGTGCTGCTGCTCGGTTTCAAACTAACCAGCTAATTACCCCTCCACTCCCAAATGTGGTCTGAGCCCTTTGCTGAAGCCAAACATGGAGAAAAGGAGCCCAAACGGGAAAGAGGGGAGTTGTTTTTAATGAGTGGTGAGCATGACAGACAACATCAGGAAAACAGGCCTAAAATGGAGCTGTATTTCCAACATGAGTGCATACAGGAGGTGGACTACAGCAGCACATTACAATACAATAGCCATGCAGGAAATACCTATTAGGTGCTCGTAATGCTGAGCTTTTGTTGTAAGTGTTGATTCAAGTCACAAAACTGCACCTTTAGGTAATGTGGTAAAGGGGGAAAACCTCAGAAAAGAAAGATGACATAAGCCAAACACAGCAAAGTAGGAGGATACGTGTCCAACATAATCACTGTAAACTGAAGTCTTAAAAATAAATTGAGCTGGATCAGTTAGAACAAACTTAACAAGATTTTTTTTTTTTTACATCTCCTGCATATCCTTCCAAAGAATGTGACAAATGAGCTGCAGAGACACACATGCCTCAGTTTTTAACCTCTCTTAACTAGCATCGAGAGCGTTGTGTATTTTCTGAGGCCTGTGGGACAAGTAAATCATATATAAATATTCTGCTAGTACCACCGTCTTCCATTTAAAGGCCCCTACTCAATATACAAGGTACTCCCATGCAGCTCATTTAATTTTAAGAAGGGGACTAACACAAATAAACTGCACATATCACAGTGTCTTTAAGTACAACCTAGTCTCTTAGGAGCTTTACAGTTAACAGCTCTGTGTGGAACCACTCAGAGAACAGTAGCTTCATTGACAACACAATCTTAAAAAGGGATCCATGTTACAAGCTCGGGGCTGCTAAAATAATTGGCAAAAGTTTGAACTACAGCATAAAAAAGTACATCATGTAGGCCAACAGACTTTAAACTCCACTTCCATGCTTTACAGCATGGATGGTGACTTACCCTGCATCATGCTTCTGTAAGATGTGTCAGTGATGGCGTAGATGTGGGGCGGCATTTCATGCCTCTTCTTGCCCTTGTACATTTCGACAATCTCCTCTGAGTAGATGGGCAGGTTCTTGTAGGGGTTTATGACGACACAGAAGAGACCAGAGTACGTCTGCAGGACACAGAAAGGTGGCATTTGAAAAAAGCTGCACATGAACATGGAATAAGAAGAAGAAGGTACCAGTGGAAGTACAGGGGTTGATAAAATAAAATTAGGTCAGAAAGGAGATCTGCAAGTCTTCACTTAAGCTAAGAGGCTCAGATTTGTTTTAGGATTCGTGTGGGAATTCTTGCAGGATTGGAGTCAATGTCACTATTCATCACGTGACTGGGACAGGACAGGGAAGTCAACAGGGGTGGGCAGGTTGGGAATAACAGTGACGATGACGATAGGTGTAATGATAATATAATATCTAAATATGCACTGTTATGAATAAACACTATTGTCTTTTCTTTTTTACTGGAATACGTTGGGACGGGAAAGAAAGTCCGCTCCCATGTCACCCTCTAGTTCACACTACACAACCTTCAGGCTCGTTAGATTGCAGTGTTGTTCACTACACAACATGCTGTCTTGTAATTGGGTCTTTAAGACACTGTGGTTTTCACACTTCATGTCTGACTGGTGATAGGGTCACACACTGCAAAATCTTTCAAAAGGAGGAATCACAGATAAAAAGTCTGTTCTTCAATCTATAGTTTGTGAAACGGTAACTGACATAACACCACACAAGAGGCACAAGTTTTTGGCGCATATTAACAAAATAGCCCATTTCCTCTGAGGTGCAACAAGAACTCTGGTCTGAATTGTAGCTGCAACACACACAATTCTTATTGTTACAGACGACCCACGCCCTGAGGTTTCCCTCAACTCATGTCTTGTCTCAAGGCTAATGTCGTGCAGTGTGAGGTAGACATTAGTGGGGTTGGGGACGTCAGCTTCAGTAAATTTTGCCTCTGGTGGCCTGACATCTATCAACCGGTAACCAACTGGTTAATTTGTAACACAAAAAAGGCCAAAAAACTTGAAATATGCTAGGCCTTTACTTGAAGTTTGACTCTGTGAGCTTTAGCGCAGCATTTTGAAGTGATATCCCTGGAGGGGTGGGCACGACATTTCCATAGCAAAACCATCCTGTTACCATGGGTCAGGCTCAGCTAGCTCCTACCTGACCCACAGGTGGTGGTGCACGGTGCAGTAAACTGAAGAGAAGCAAAATAAACCTATAGATTGACATATGTGACTGGTCAAAAATGTTCTCTGCAGTTAATAGAGTAAGAGTTAACCACTGACATTCCTAACTGGTCATTTTAATATGCTTATGTGCAAACAGTGTCGTGCTTCCCTCAAAATTTGCTTCTCTAAATAATAAAGAAGTTGCACGCGGCATTGCTTCAATAATGAGGATTTCCCATCAGGACTGAGCTGAAAGTTTCTCATGAACTCTGAATTGTTCTTCTATATCATTACGTAATCTCGACCCCACCCTGCTGCAAGTTTAAACTGATGATTGAACTTAGCATTGCAAAACTACAGCTACTCGACAGGTTAGCCGAGTCATATCTCAAGTCTGCAAGGTAGAATTATCTTTCCTGCTTTGAACATTTAAACCCTCCTCCATTCCTTTCTTTAAACCCCACTAAATCTCTTCTTTGTGTATCTGGACTTTTTCTCCTCTCACCATAGCTTCAGATTTTTTGTTTCTGTGAGCTGCATTCCTGCGCTGCCCTCCCACCATCTCTGTACCAGGCGTTCCTCTTTCTGCTGTACACCCGCTCTCCCTTGAGAGATGGTCAATGTAAAGACTACAGAGCCTGGAGGCTCTTTAACCACCCGTAGCCTGGATCTTTGGAGGGAGCGAGGGAGGGGACAGCAGGCTGTGTTGATATGACCGGGTCATACCACAGAGTCAAAGAGACCAAATCACTCCCAGCCCACCACATGGGGATAAATAACATTAATTATGGGGGAAGTAATAGCAGTTACAACACGATTTACATTCCATGTCCATCTCTGAAAAAACTGGATGCCCCTCCCTACTTCCCTGACTCTTTCTTCACATCTCTCTTGCTCATTGTTCCCTGCAGCTTCCTGTTTACAAGATAACTCCAAACACAGGGAGAACAGAGAGAGAAGGGAGACAGAGGGGAGGAGGGTGCAGGAAAAGAATGCCTGCATACCATAAGTATGTTAGCAAAGGGCACGGGGTCTTTGCATTGACTATTTGCATACAATGGGTTGTCTTAAACAATGGAGCCTAATGAGATAATAAGGAGGTTGGACAGGGAGATAAATTGGTTTGGAGACTGGCCATGGCATATTGTTTTCTACAAGCCAGTGGGGATTTTGTAACAATTAAAAAGGAAAATGCTTTTAACTGCACCAATGGGAAAATGTTACCCTGATAATTGTTTAGTGGATGAGCAGATCAAGAAAACAGTAGCAACACACTTCTGAGGAAAATGTCAGATATGAAACATGGCTGTATTTTATTCTTACAACACAACGCCTAATAATTTAAATACTAAAAAAGACTGTCTAAGTATCGTCTTGGCAAAAACATTCGCACTAGAGTCAAAACTGGGAAAGAAATAAATCAATGCTTTGTTTAAGGGGGGCTATCATGCTCATATTCAGGTTCATATTTGTAATTTGGGTTTATGTTTACATGCTTTAAAGCTTGAAATACACTTAATTTTCCTAACGCTGTCCGCGCTGGAACACCTGTAATCACCCTCTGTCTAAAATGCTCTATTTCAGCAGCTGTTTCCTCACAAAAAGCCCAGTCTGCTCTAATTGGTCAGCATTTCCGTGTCTTCCGCATCTTTGCACAGTCACTGCAGCCGTGGAATGACCGTTGACGCAGAATAGTTGCACCTCTGGAATCAAAAATTAACAATAAATTTTAAGATGACTTGTTCCCCAACGTTAGCATGAAGCTACATGTAGCAGGGTGCCGGGGAATGACAGTTAACAGAGAATAGCGGCACTTTTTCCCATTTAAAACCACCAATAAGGGGCTTTGATGGCTTAGTGGGTAGAGCAGACGCCCTATATACCAGACTGTTACTGCTGCGGCCCGGGTTCAAGTCCAGCCTGTGGCCCTTTGCTGCATGTCCTCTCTCTCTCTCTCTCTCCCTTCAAACTTACCTGTCCATTAAAGGCAAATGCCCAAAAAATATCTTTATTCCGCTAGTCCGCTGCTCGCTACTGTTATTTTGGCTGGTAGAGAATATGGTTGGCTGCTGGATTTTTTTTGTCTTGAAATCCAGTGAGTCAGAAGAGATGCTTGAAATTTTGCAAAGCAGGACCCCAAACCCCCATCTCACATGTATCCCAACTTTTTGTGAAATGAAACCAACGCCAAAAAAAAAACCTGTTGGAAACTGAGGATTTAGAATCCTGAAGCCCAAGGTTGTTGCTCGCAGGGTTTACTTATACATATGTTAACCTCATTATTTCACCCTACATCGTAAGATCATACAATATGACAGCAAATAGAGAAAAGCATAATAGGTCCCCTTTAAGGTATTTGACGGCTTCATACTCACGTATATGAGCCCAGAGTAGTATCTCTCCTTCAGGTTGTGCAGCACAGAGGCCTCGTTCAGGCAGGTGAGCTCGGCCATGTCCTCCACCTTGCTGAACTTGGGCGGGTTCATCTTCTGGATGTCATCCTTGTTCACCCTGATCTTCTTCCCAGAGTCTGCCAGCTCGACCACGCACTCGTCGCCACGCTCCTCCTTCACTGAGCCGGCCTCGAAGCCCAGGCGTTCTGAGGGCACCCATACTAGCTTCTTGGTGGCCCAGTCAGCCTGTGCCAGGGGGTTGTTGACCAGATTGCGGTCCACATACAGGAACTTGTCTGCAGCAGACATGGTAGCTGAAAGATGAAGAAAGTGTTTATCTTTAGTGCTAAGAAATTGAGAGAATCACGAAGAGAAGTCAAAAACCTAGATATCAAACCACAAAAACAAAAATCTCATAAACATTTAATCATTTATTATCACATTAAAATCTATTATATGTAAATGAGTTGCTGCATGTCTTCAGTAATATCTGGCAGGCTTCGTTTACAGGACCAGACCTTTGCTTCCCCTCCATCTTCACATGTAATTTCAGAGGAATGTAAAGGTCACAGCTGACAGGATGTACAACAGGAAGAGTCTACTTCAGTGATGTCAGGTCGACATAACACACATCCATGTCAAACTACGCTCCGTGTTACTTCTTGACAAATTGCTGTGAACACTTAATCAAATCTCCAGCTGCTGGAACATCCCAGTGACGGAGGAGAAACACCTCCCAGCAGAGGTGCCTCCAGTTGGGCTCCAACTAACTGGCTGTGTGCTGGTGGGAAAAACTGTGAGGGAGCATGCCTTTGTTGTCATTCCTACTGGTTGGTTGAGTATTTGCTAAAAAGGGGGAGAAGGGGAGATGTCTGTGTGTGATCTTGGAGAGATAACCTAAAGCTCTGCTTGACTTAATGGCCTTATCAACCAAATAGTTCCAGTGACTGAACCCAGTGACAAAATCAGGAAACAAAAGTCCCTTTTATACATTCCTGTTTTTGTCTGCTTCAGAGGAACCGTAAACATAAAAAGGATCAAAGGAGTGAGACGGAAGTTTCATATGAGAGCATGTTTTGTATAAAAACAGTCATCACGTTCTCTGTAATTTAGCATTATCGTAAAGCGTTCTTTGTTTCTAGTGTTATCAAAGCAGTGATGATCTGTTGAATGTTTCATGGTTGTATTTCCTGATTTAGTGCATAGTCACACTGAAACAATTAGTAAATAAACTTCAAATTTTGTTTGCCTCGGTCACGCTTTCTCTTTAGGTTTCCTGTAAAACTAACATTGATTGTGTTTGTTTTAATGTAAATATTATCGATAGCAGCCATAATCAGTGAGTGACTGTCATGGTAACTACTTTTGGACTATATATTATCCTGGAAAACATTGCATTAAACTATATTAAAACTGCATTAAAATATAATACTGTCATTTTAAGACCATTTTATGGCACTAACATGACATAGGGCTGAAAGATATGGTCTATAAATAATATAATAAAAAAATAATATAATAATAATAATATAATAATATTTATAAGCCGTATTGCGATACACAATTCATTTATCTTGATATTATGAAATCTACTAAAATACCTAACTACGAAATAAACTAGCTACAGGAAAATTAAATAAAAATGCTACATAATAAAGTTTAATAAAGTACAGTTAAGTGAAGTATTGTTAAAATAAATAAATCAAAGCGGAAACATGGGTGCTTTCATTCAACCGGCTTCTCTCAAGCAGGAAGGGTTGATGTTTTTGCTATGAACATAAAGCTTCTGGCTGTTAGCAGTTAGCAGAAAGTTAAACTGATACTGCTGCGCCATTAAACATTATTCAATGTGAACTGGAATCAAACTAAAAGCTCTCAGTTCATGTATTAATAATATTCACAAGTGGCAGTGGTGCTCCATGGTTGCAAAACGCAACTAATTAGTCATGGTCTGGAGCCCCACTGACACAGAAATACACGCCTCACATGCTCATACAATTGTAACTTGTTAAAAGTTAAACCGTTACCAGGGCACAAGTTGCAGTTGTGCTCCATAGTTGCAAAATGCAAATAGTTGCAATCTAGAGCCCTGCAGACACAGAAACCCATGCCTTGACTCTCATACTATCATAACTCATTGAAAGTTAAGCTGTTTCCTGGCGCGTCGTTAAACGTGAGATTTAATCCACTGTGAACTGGAATCAAACTAAAAGCTCTTCAGTTCATGCATTAATAATATTCGCAAGTGGCAGTGGTGCTCCATGGTTGCAAAATGCAACTAATTAGTCATGGTCTGGAGCCCCACTGACACAATTACATGAGCATGTGAGGCATGCGTTTCTGTTACTTGTTAAAAGTTAAACCGTTAACAGGGCACAAGTCGCAGTTGTGCTCCATAGTTGCAATCTAGAGCCCTGCAGACACATAAACCCATGCCTTGACTGCTCATACTATCGTAACTATTGTATCGTAAAAGTTAAGCCGTTTCCTGGAGTGCCATTAAACGTGAGATTTAATCCACTGTGAGCAGGAAACAAACTACCAGCTCTCCTGTTAAAATACTAATAGTATTTGCAAGTCGTACTGGTGCTCCATGGCTCCAAAATGCAACTAAATGGTTATGGTCTGAAGGCATGCTGATACAGATACAGAAACACAAGCCTAGCCTGCTCAAACTATCATAACTCGTTAAAAGCTCAACAGTGACCAGGGTGCCTTTAAACATGAGATTCAATTCAACGTGAGCAGGAAACAAACCAACAGCTCTCCAGTTCATATATAAATATAATACACAATACGCAATACACTGAATAAAACGGATACATCGCCCACCCCTATAGTCTGCATATTCTTAAGAATATTAATCCTTAAGAATATGCAGACATTGGAGTTGAAATGTGAAACAAAAATTAAAAAAGCCTAAATCCATATAAGATAAATTAATGTGGTTGTTTGTGTGGAAGAGCTGAGCCCCACCCATGGTAGAAATCTGCCAGAAAGCAGAAAAAGAAGACAGCAGCAGAGCGACATGAAATGACAACAAAACGTGTCCCAGCATAGTTTCTTTCCTGTTAATTCGGCTTACACCCTCTGAAAAAAAAGAAAAGACTTGGGTGCTGCACCCAAGTCTTTTAATAGGGAAAACCCTGCCGTTTATTCTGGCATCATGTTGCCGACATTCTTTTATAAACGAACACACACACACATATATACACACCACATATGAACATGACCTCGTTAAGTCTATAACGTAATTATTATGACAGGCCAAGTGGCAGTTGAGGTGTGCGTTTGTTTAGGTAGAAAATTTGCCAACAAGCTTCTACAACCTTTAGGAAAGTCAACATGTGCAGTGCACTTTAAATACACAACTTAATGTTAGCTAACAACTGCACTTACTATGAGCTTAGAGGAATGGCTTCAAGAAAATTCTCAATGTTGTGTTGCAAGAAGTGATGAGCCGAGTGCGGTTAATTGTCAAACCAGATAAAGCTCCTCATAAAATTTGCAGTGAACCAAAACAAATGGTTGATATTAAATGCTACTTATAGAAGTTTCAAATAAAACATAACTGAACTTCAGCTGAAGCTGACAAAGTGTGCACAAGTTGCTTTCACACACCTCTAAAAAGTTCACAGATAACATCTTGTTGACAGGGAGTGCTGCGGTTTAACCTATATAGAAGGTGACAGGACCAGTATAACCAGTACTAAGGAAAATGACAGCAGTGTGCTTGAGCCAACCTGCCCAACTAAAGCGAGTGCAGAGAGACTCTTTGCAATTAACTGAACATGATGTACCTTCACTGACACCGAAGGCCCAGACTTTACACTGTCTCAATTATCATTCCAACACAGCAGGAGCATGACACCGTTTTCCCAGCATCACCAGGGTCTCTCAACGTTCCCTCACCTCTGACAAAAAAAGCAACAACAACAAAAAAAACCAAGAGCTTCCCTATAAAGGCTTGTTTGCATATGCTGTGCTGCTCATATGCAAACACTATGAAAATCACAGCAGAGGTTATTCCAGTCCAGTCCTACATTTATCATCAGGCCTGCAATAATACATAGGCTGCCAAAGCTGGAAGTGTTTCAAATGTCCGTGAGAGTATTTTTGCATTACAATGTCATCCAGTGGGATGAGGTTCTGGCGCCAAGTTCGCAATTTTCTCATGCTCAACATCATAAAACACTGCTTGGACACAACAAATCAGAACATACAAAGATCAGTGCAAGAATAATGGTTTTTATAAAGGTTATGTTTATTCAACTGGGGAAATGTCTTCTTCTTACAGTAGATCAGTTTTGATGTGACTTCATGGCTCAGTCTCTCCAAAATTCCTGAATTCATTTAGGGGAACTTGGTATTTATGGAAACTTCAGTCTGTAGAACGACCAATACTGAATTTCTGAGGTTGATACCTACATCTGGGAGCTTAGAAAAAAATCTGAAAATGATTTATGAGACAAACATTACAAACAATCTTCAAGGGGATCATTTCAGTTTGTTAGCTTGTCAGTAGGATTACAAAAAGAACTACTGGCATGATTTTCATGGAACTTGGTGGAAGGATGTAGCCTAAGCCAAGGATGAACCCAGTAAATTTTAAGGCGGGTCCGGATCAAGGGGCTGATGCACAAATTATTTTTCACTGTTGTTAATAATGTGAGATATGGCATTTAGCTTTGGTGGAGGTCTGTACTCTTTGAGTGCCCTTCTAGTTTTAAATTGTGATCAAGATATTTACTAAGCAGGACATTTTACTGGGGGATATCGGCTTTCGAAAGCCTGACTACTATGAATCAGCAACTAATCTGTTCATTTCTAAGGGGAAAAAAAAGCAAAATTATGTAAAATACAAAAGGTGCTTTCCTTTGAGTCCGGCAGTCTATTGACTCAATGAGCTTTAACGCCATTTTCCAAAGCGCCAGCCAGCTGTATTAACGTCCAGAGACATAGCGCCCACCCTCTGGTCTCTACTAGGTGACTAGCTGATCTGCACTGCACACCAGCTGGACAGGAGCTAGCTAGCAATACAGCTCATTCAGGAATTACCACTAATAACAATGTCACGACCCAAAGTGACAAAATGGTGTTGCTGCAGAAACATGGTGGCCAACTTCTAGTCTCCCCTGAGATCGCCCTGGTGAATAGTGGCTTAATGTTGAACCACAAAACCCCTTTAGCATTGTTAACTATGTTAGCACCTCCAGCCGTGCTGACACTGCTAACATTGCTAACATAGTTAACAATGCTAATGCAGCCTAAAATTAAGCGGCTGACTCGCCAGGGCAACCAGGGGGAGACTGGA